CCCCCCCCCCCCCCTGCCACTCCCTCCTGACACTGTCGCCTTACTCAGATTCTTCAGGGTCACACAGGCACCGGGGCTGATCAAAGCCCTCCTGGGGGGTTCCGGGAATGGGGGGGTAGCAGCCCGGGAAGAATTGGCCCCGCCCCCAGGGTCCCTGCTGTGAGTCGGGGAGGGGCTGGGTCAGAGGAAGGAGCCTGGGTCGGGGCGGTCTGGGGTCCTATTCCCCGGGGCAAGGGCTGGGAGGACAGGCGCACCACATCGATCAGCTGGGCGATGGACAGCCCGAAGCGCACGATCACCACGTCCGAGGTGTTGGGCACCGGGCGTGCCCAGCGATTGTAGCCGCTGAAGAGGTGTTTGAAGAGGCGGTCCTCGGCTTGGGTGTGGGAGCCTGGCTGGGCAGGTTCTGGGGCACGGGGAGGCGAGAGGGCGTCTCTGGGAGCCCGGGGCGGGGGGCGCTTGGCTTCCTCTCCACCTGCCATCGAAGCAGAGCGGGTCAGCCTCCCTGAGCCTGAGTTTGCTCATCTGTAAAATGATCTGACCCAGAACAATCTCAAAACGCTGCGGAGGGTTAGCTATGCCTGGGTCTGTCAGAGCGGCACACAGGAGGACTCAGCCACGAATGAGAGCCCAGGACAGGTCAGCTGCCTTGTGATGTTAGATAAGAAAGAGTGGGAACGAGTCCTTCGGAGGGGTGAAGGATGTTTGGTGGGTGGGACAGATGTAGAGACAAGATTCAGCCTGGCGAGAGGATACCTAAAGTTCCTAGGTGATGGGGGTGGGGAGAGATGCCTGGTCTGTGCGGGCTCCGGCATTTTGGTGAGCCCGGCCGGGTTGAGCGGCCTCCTGTTCCCACCCACTGTCAGACGGACTCTCGTGCTGACAGAGAAATCATCTGCCCCTTTGGACGTCTCCCCAGTTTTTCGATTTCGTCTTTCTTTGATTTGATTTGATTTTTTTGGAGTCAGAGTCTCACTCTGTCACCCAGGCTGGACTGCAGTGGCATGCTCATGGCCACCCCAGCGTCGACCTGCTGGGTGGGCTCCGGCGATCCTTCCGCCTCAGCCTTCCAAGTAGCTGGAACGACAGGCACGCACTACCATGCCTGGCTCATTTTAAAATTTTACTGTAGAGATGAGGTCTCATCAAGCTGCCCGAGCTGGTCTCGAACCCGTGGGCTCAGGCATTCCTCTCGCCTCAGCCTCCCAAAGTGCTGGGATTACAGGCTTGAGCCACCACGTGCGGCCTCCCCAGTTTTTGTTTTTGTTTTTGTTTTTTTTACTGAATTGGCCTTAGCCACTTCTTATGAGACAGGCAAAGTGGTGCAAGACAGTCTGTGGGTGTCATCAGTTTCACCGTGGTCTGCAAACAAACAGCTTCACCCCGCCGGGCTGGGCTGCCTGCCCCGTCAAGAGCTACCCACTGCTCCAAAACCCAGGAAAATGTGTCAGCACCATCTGGGACAGAAAGCACAGCGGGAACAATAGCCACCGTGCCTGCGTCCTGGTGCCTCCTGTGTCTCGGATGCTGGTCACAAACTCACATTTCATCCTCACAATAGCCCTGGGAGGCCCACAATACTATTTGCGTTCTGCAGCTGAGGACACTGACGCTCGGGGACGTTCAAGGTGACGCAGCTGCTAGCGTTGGAGCCGTGACTGCCCTTCTACCTACTCCCTGGGAACCAGCTGCCAGGCTGATGACCTCTAACGTCCCCTGCAGCTTTAACGGTCACGGCGAGTTCAGCTGCAGGAGATTCCTCTGGGCAGCTAGTGTGCTTGCAGGAACGGAGTGAAGCCTTACCGATGACACCCACTTACCTGCTGGCATCAGGAGCCACCACAGACTGAGACTCATCAGGGACAGGAGTGTGGGATGGGAGGGGCCCATGGCTTCTGAGGAGGGGGTCTGGCGTCCCCTGGGCATCTGAAGGAGGACGGGGAGCGCTTTGCTGAGTGGAACCTTGGACAGCTTCCCTGGATTCTTCAAGGCTGTCTCTTCCTGCCAAACCAAGTCCAAGAAAGGACTCTTAGGATCATGCATCCTTGACACTGACACACACACACACACACGTATATATACATATACATATGCATACATGTTTATGGGAGAGAGAGAGAGAGAGAGAGAGAGAGAGAGTGCCGGAGTCTCACTCTGTCACCCAGGCTAGAGTGCAGTGACACGATCATGGCTTACCGAAGTGTCAACTTCCTGGGCTCAGGGGATCCTCCCTCCTTGGCCTCTCAAGTAGGCACACACTAATTTTTTTTTTTAATTTTATGTAGAGATGATGTGTCACTATGTTGCCCAGGCTGGTCTTAGAATCCTGGACTCAGGCAATCCTCCCCCCTCAGCCTCCCAAAGTGCTGGGATGACAGACAGAACCACCATGCCTGGGCTGTTTTTGCTTCTCACACTTTCAAAGGTGTAAACCATGGACAGACAGGCCTTCTGGTGGTAATGGGCTCTCCCTGGCTTCATTAGGAGGCAGCCTCATCCCCTTTCTCCAGAATTAGCTACCCTAAGACAAACCCAGGCCTGCTGGGCAGAGCAGGAAGCAGGGCCGGACCGAAGTCCCTATTGCTCTGGACTCAGTGTCTCATCTGTAAAGGGGGTTTGTCACACCACAAAGGACGATCAACAGGAGAATGAGTGCGATTCACAAGAGCCAAAAGGCGGAAACAACAGCTTTGTCCCAACAGGTGTCCTTCAGCTGACAAATGGATGACTGAAAGGTGGTCTATCCCCACAGCAAAATACGAGTCAGCCATACAACGGAACGAGGTACGGATGCGTGCGACAGCATGGACGGGCCTTGACAACCATATGCAAAAGCATTCTCCCCCGCAAGTGGGAGCTAAACTCTGGGTTCACACAGACATAAAGATGGAAACCGCAGACCCTGGCGACTCCAAGAGGGGAAAAGGAGGGAGAAGGCAAAGGTTGAAAACGGCCCATGGAGTCTTGGGTGATGGGTTCTACAGAAACCCCAGACCCAGTACTAGGCAGTATATCTATATAACAGACCCGCACATACAGCCCCTGAATCTCACACAAAAAAAAAAGAAAAAGAAAAAAAAGGATTCTTGTTAAAAAGAAAAAGAAATTAAAAGTTGAGAGCACAGAAATATTCTACAGTTTCTCTAGAGATGCAGAGAAAGTATACTGATTTTTTTTTTTTTTTTTTTGAATTGGAGTCTCACTCTGTCACCCAGGCTGGAGTGCAGTGGCATGCTCACAGCCACCCCAGCCTTGACCTGCTGAGCTCCGGCGATTCTTCTGCCTCAGCCTTCCAAGGAGCCAGAACGACAGGTGCACGCTCCTACACCCAGCAAATTTTTATTTATTTATTGTAGAGATAAGATCTCACCAAGTTGCCTGGGCGGGTCGCGAACCCACGGGCTCAGGCCATCCACTCGCCTCAGCCTCCCAAAGTGCTGGAATGACAGACTGAGTCACCAAGCCCGGCCATACCTGATTTTTAAAAATATGTTTTAAAATCTCCTATCCCGCCCCATCACACACCTAAGCCTTTATCACCTGTTATTGGATTTCTGTCTCCCCACCTTTCAAGAAAACTGCTCACTCCAAGCCTTCCACCATGATCTTCTTGACATGAATTGGCGATCAAATTGTTTTTGGTCTCCTTTGGAAACTTCTGTAGCTCTGCTGACCACAGCTTTCCTAAAAAGCTCTCCCTCTTTGCTTCAGGTGAAGTAACTCTCTACATCATTCTTCTGTTTCTCTACATCAGATAATAAGATCTTCCTCCTCTGTTATTTAAAAAAATAAAATAAAATCAGCATCTTCTGGATTAATAAGAAATAGCCAGCTCTTTTGGCCACAGGAATGACAATATAAGCAGAACATGGAAAGCTGATGCCAAAGGGTGCTAGTGACCCGAAGGACACTGATTTCAAGGACAAGAGTGAACAGTTCGAATGTTTCATAACAGGGAGAGTAGGGAAAAGCAGTATTTTTAAGTATTATTTTATAGAGTATGTGGTCTAAGATGTGTGTATCATTAAAATAACACGTTAAACCGGGCTCGGTGGCTCAGCCTGTAATCCCGTGCCTTTGGGAGGCTGAGGTGAGTGGATTGCCTGAGCCCGCGGGTTCGAGACCCGCCTGGGCAACTTAGCGAGACCTCATCTCTACAATAAGTCAAAAATTAGCCGGGCGTGGTAGCGCGCGCCTGTAGTTCCAGCTCCTTGGAAGGCTGCGGCGGAAGGATTGCCGGAGCCCAGCAGGTCGAGGCTGCGGTGGCCGGGAGCAGCCACTGCACTCCAGTCTGGGTGACAGAGTGAGACTCCAACTCAAAAACAAAACAAAACAAAACAAAAAACAAAATAACTCGTTAAATTAATTAACATTAAAAATTTTACACATTCAAATTTGCTTTTTCTTTCTTTCTTTCTTTTCTTTTTTTTTTTTTTTTTTTGAGACAGAGTCCTGCTCTGATGCCCAGGCTGGAGTCCAGTGGGGCAATTATAGCTTACTGCTTCCTTGAACGCCTGACCTCAAGTAATTGTCTCACCTCGACCTCCTGAGTAGCTGGGACTGCAAACTGCATGTCACCACACCCAGTTACTTATTTCTTTTTTGTAGAGATGGGGTCTCCCTGGGCTGCCCAGGCTGCTCTCAAACCCCTGGCCTCAAGCGATCCTCCTGTCTTGTCCTCCCAAAGTGCTGGGATTACAGGCATGAGCCACCGTGCCAGTAAGTTTTCCTTTTCCTGGAACAGCCACTGGTTGGGGGACAAATGGGGTTTCACGTTCAGGCACACGTTGTACGTGTGGTCTTCAGAGGGGCAACGATGCTCAGTGCAGACGGTGGACACAGGATTTCCTTTTGGAATGACGAGAATGTTCTGGAACTAGATAGGGGTGATGGTTGCACAATGTTCCAAATAAACTACATACCACAAATGATACATTTTATGTTATGTGTATTTTAGCCACACTTTTTAAAAAGAATAAGGGTAAGGGTGCTTTAAAAATGTAAACCAGGCCGGGCTTGGTGGCTCAGCCTATCATCCCAGCACTTTGGGAGGCCGAGGTGAGTGGATTGCCTGAGCCCGTGGGTTCGAGACCTGCCTGGACAACTTGGCAAGCTCTCATCTCTATCAAATAAATCAAAAATTAACCAGGTGTGGTAGTATACGCCTGTAGTTCCGGCTACTTGGAAGGCTGAGGCGGAAGGATCGCCGGAGCCCAGCACATCCATGGGTGTGCCGTTGCACTTCAGCCTGGGCAACAGAGCGAGACTCCAACTCAAAAAAAAAAAGTCAACCATCAGGTAGGTGAGGGAATCCAAATTATTATTGACAGAGTCAGGAATGACTTCTACCTGGTCGCCCTCAGCCCTCCAGTCCACCCTGTCCCAACCTTTCAGCAGTGATTTCGGACATCACAGGTCCTCGGCCATCCTGCCCTCCTGGCAGGAGAAGCGAATGGCAAACATGGCTTTGAGTCCTGGCCCCACCACTGAGTGGCAGTGAGCCCTGGGCAGTCACCCAACCCCACTGGGACTTTGTCTTAAGGTACGGTTCCCACACGCCCTGCCCTGCCCTGCCCGAGGGGTTCCAAGAGGAAAGGGAACCATTTGTGCCTATGAGAGCTCCTGAGAGCTGCAGAGGTCTGGGTCGGAAACGGGTTGGTCTGCTGGTTGTCAGAACACCGGCTGGTGGCACTGCACAGTGACAGTCTGTACCAATCAGAGGAAGAGGAATCCAATGTGAATTCCAACGTGTGGGATTTTCTGGCACATACTTATTATAACAAGCTTTTCCAGAGTGCCTCTGGGGAAAGAAGGTTTTCCCGTGTCAATTTTCCCAGAAGGTTTCAATTCAAAGACTCATTAGAAATGGAGAATCACAGGTTGGCATGGTGGTTTATGCCTGGAACCCCAGCAGATTGACAGGCTAAGGTAGGAGGATTGCTTGAGCCTGGGAGTTTGAGACCAGCCTGGGCCACATAGTAAGACCCTACCGTCTCTACAAAAATAAAATTAAAAAATGGTGGTGCATGCCTGTGGTCTCAGCTACTTAGGAGGCTGAGGCAGAAGGATTGCTTAAGCCCGGGAGGTTGAGGCCTAAGTGAGACAGGATCGTGCCACTGCACTCCAGCCTGGGTGACAGAGTGAGACTCTGATGGAAGGAGGAAAGGAAGGAAGGGATTACATTTACCTCCTGCTCTCACAGGAGAATATGACCCCCGCCCACCAACTGCCCCGATCCTCAGTGGCACACCAAATCCCATCCCTGCCTCAGGTTTCTCACTTCATCCCAGCTCTCCTCTTAAAGGTGCCTCGCTGGTTCCTGTCTGGCCACCCAAAACCCCAGCCAGCAGGTGGAAAAGGCCTGTGGTTCCCAGAAGATGGAATGAGCCGGGCGAGAGAGCAGCCCTCCCAGAATGGCCTCCTCGGGGCGGGAGCCGGGTGTCCTGGTGGCGGGGAGCTTCTCCACAGATAGTCCCCTCACACAGCCCAGCTGGAGCCAGCTGGATCCAGCCACTCTATCCACACAGCAAACCCTGGAGCATAGTTTTCCAGAGTTCTCTATAAATCTGCAGCTTTGTACATGTGTGAACTCGTATCTCCCTGCACATTGTGCATGATGGTTGTGCAGTGCCTGGTCATGGGAGCTTCTTTGGCCCTGGTGAGCCATAGAGGTTGGGTCTGGGGTCTCTGGCCCTCAAAGGTGCAGGAGCCCGTCCCTGGGGGCTTCCCCCGAGCAGACCCCATTGCAAAGGAAGCAGCACCGCTAACTTATTTCCAGAGAAAGCTATCATTACTAGCTTGCTCTTTCTCTTCTACTCTTTTATCATTATTATTATTGTTGTTGTTGTTGTTGTTGATTGAAATGGGGTGTCACTCTGTTGCCCAGGCTG